GATGAAAAAATTAATAATAATAAAGATCAGAATATTGTTAATTTGATTAAAAATTTTTCACTAATCATTTGTGGAGATGACAATTGTGTAAAGGAATTTGGTAAATATGATGTGTTGATAGAGAAGGCAAACCTTGATCCAAAAGATTGTGTTGTTTTAGAGGATTCTCTTCAAGAAGCCAAATTGGTGCTTAAATCAAATTTATCGGTTCGTGATTTTTTATGATTAGCTTTAATTATATATTTAACTTTGGTAAACATATTTCTTCACACAGGTAATTTTAGTAGAAAATCCAGAATTCCCATTTATTAATAAAAAAGAGATTTGCGAGAAAAACAATACCCACATAATTCAAGGTTTAAGGAATGTAATTAGTATATTTCAGCACATTAAAGAAAAAATAATAAAACTTGATCGATACCAAATCATCTTTATAGTCTTTGTAGCGATATGATTATTAGATTGCTACCAAAGAAAAACCTACAATCGGGCTTTCAATTATATTTTGTGTCCAGTTTGTTCCCTAAGGAAAATTTATGATTTTTGATTCATGCAAACACACCATAAATTTCATATTGCACTTAACCTAAAAATTAGGTTTACAATAGGCCGGTTTGCCTGGGCCTGAATCTATTACATCATAAGCAAAATAATACAGTTCAATTCATTAAAAAGTTGGCACATCGTAAACTTAGTTCATTCTCCGACAGCATCTTGATGCCATTGGAGAATAAAATTTGTTTAATTATATATTTGATGTGACTTTTCTTGTGTTATGTTTACCAGAATTATGAATTAATTCTACTAAAATTATGTTGACCAGAGTTACGAATTAATTCTACCAAAATTATGTATGAATTAGTTCTACCAGAGTTATGTTTACCAGAGTTATGAATCAAAATTATGTTTACCAGAGTTACGAATTAAATTCTACCAAAATTATGTTTACCAGAATTACGAATTAATTCTACCAAAATTATGTTTACTAGAGTTACGAATTAATTCTACCAACCATAGTAGTTACAAATCAAAATTATGTTTACCATCAATTTTACCAAGATATTTACCAGAGTTTTGAATTAATTCTACTAACATTATATTTACCAGAATTATACTAGAAATAGAGTACAAAGTATGCAATTCTAAGTATTTGATTGGGTGATCCATCCTTGTGAATACTAGAAAAAGTACGTATGTATGACGTACTGTACGTATGTATGTACGCAAAATCTTGGGATTGATTGGTCCATATGACTTATTCATTATTTAATATTTAATGATATTTATTAATACAGTTGATACTATCTAAATGCATACTGCATACTGTATAAATGCATAATTTTTAAAAAAAAATTAATAGTAATATGCATTTAGACAGTAAATTTTCTAGTATTTGATTGGTTAATACTGTTTAAATGTATAAAATTGATTTTTTTTTGTGTTACCGATAGTATGCATTTAGACAGTATCAACTGTATCATATTTATTTTTTATACATCTGCAGTGAGGTACAAAAATCACATGTTCATTATCTAAATTTATAAAAAAATATCTGTAAAATCAAAAATATTAGTGACCCAATATAAATTTAAAGACCTGCATGCTAACTATTAGATAATTTTTATTTTTTTTCATCAAATATTTTATCGAGCTGATAAAAAGATAATTATTGATCATCAAAAACTTAATCGAAAGAATTTCTAAATATGTAGTGGGCACCAAATTATGTTTCATAGATTTAATTTTTTTGCAAGGCGCTTTCTAGAATTTTGGGTCAGATTCATTTGAACTAGGTGATGCTAGCTAGCCAAGTCTATAGCGCAATTATCAGCTGAACATTGACCTCATCAATAGGTTTTTAGACTCAATCTCTGAAATTCAGATATTAATATTATTAACAAAAAGTAAAGATTGTCAGCTAAAAAAAAAAAAAAGGTGAAATAAAATAAAAGGTTTATGATTATTGTAAAGCCAAACTTTATGAAATATGCAACTTTAATTTGAAAAGATAGTATAAAAGTATAATAAGAACCTGGGAATAAATCAGTTATTATTCATGAAGTGAACATAACTAAAAATCAAATCCAGATCTAACAATCGAATAATAACAGAATAGCATGCCAGTTGCTTCGCAGCCAATACTTTGAACTCTCGTGTCAAAATTTCAATATTTAAGATATAACGCAAGTTATTTACTTTTATATTCAAATAAATAGTAATGAAAGAGGAGTTAGATTTTGAATATTTGTCATGTTCATATAGTAAATTTATATTAAAAAGTGGTATCCATTTGTGTAACAATAAACTGTTACCAGTATAATTAGTTTAATTAGTGTTAAGGGTCTTTACATATATCACAATTAGTCGATCAAACATCTAACACATACGTATCGGTATATTGATCATTGATCTCTAATTTAAAGTTAAGCTTAATTTTAAATAACTGATAACGTTAACTTAAAATTATAAATTTCTAAATAATAATACATGTAAACCAATCAACTATACATATCGATTATTGTTTAGTTTTAATTCTAAGTTACTATATAGCTATTTATTTAATTCAATAACATATATATTCATGAATTAAAGGTTTCAAATCTGAAAAAAACCAAGATTATAGTAAATATTTAAATATCATTATTACATATCATTTTGATTAATATCTTTTCATCAACACAATGCTTCCTATGATTCCTACTGAATGTATGAAAGTAATATTTCAATATGTCAAGAAAAATGATGAGTCACTATATCCTTCTTTATTTGTAAATCATCACTGGTGTATAAATGCGGTGCCACTATTGTGGGCATGCCTATTTGATAAATTAAACTTTGATATTATATATAAGATTACATCAGTTTATATTTCATTACTTGAAGAATATGAAAAAAGTCATTTTAAGATGATAATAATTAAAAATTTATATGAACCAAAAACTATTCTGAAATTGATACCAGATAAAAGGCCCTTATTTAATTATTCAATGATGCTGGATGAATTTTCACTAAAGAGCTTAGAAATAATTTCACATTCCTGGATCACTGTATTTTGGCCTGATAAAAATTTTGATGAGTCAAGAAAACAAATCATGCAAATTAAAGAACAAATGATATTGTTTTTATTCAAATTATTTACTAAAAATGCAAATTTAAAATTTTTAACAATTGATAGTGACAAGATTTTAAATTATGTTCCGGATATTCAACATACAATTGGACAATTTTTAAATATTTTGAAGTTTGAAATTGGATATGCAGCTTAGCACATATCAATAAACTCTATAAATTTCTTAGAAAAATATCAAAATCATATAAAAAAATAAATAATCTAATCGTTATAGTTCCAGCATTTGAGAATAATCCTGAGATTAAAAATTATATTATGTCGATTATAAATATACAGAAACAATTAAAAGAATTTAGCTTCAGAGGTGTAGATAATTAGGTAGAAGAAATAATCAAAGCTTTGCAATCTCAAGCTAATTCATTAGTATCTATCAAACTCGAGTGTGTTAACCTCTCAGAATCGTTATTGAATTCACTCTCTAAATGCAAAAATTTGGAAAATTTTATGATTTTGAATTATTCAGGACTTAATATAAGATTGCGCAATGTCGAACTTAAAAATTTGAAAAAGTTATATATTAAAAGACTTTTGATGAATATTAAAATACCAAACTTGAAAGAATTAACCTTAGAAGTGTTAACACAGGAAGTGATGCTTTCTATAATAGACAACTGTTCTAATCTTACTCATCTTATTCTCAAGGGCTATCATCTATTTCCTCATGATCAGATATTTAAAGACTTGATTTAAAAATTACAAATAACCCACTTAACTATTACATTTCTATATAGCAATTCTATTATTTCTGAATCATCGATTCTATCAAAAGAATTTCTTCTACCTTCGCTTAAATATTTAGTAATTCATTGTGGGCTCATTATAATTTATCTTGATAGTCTACTAGATGATTGTTGTTACGTAAAATTAAAAAAGTTAATTATTCATATAATGAAGTTTTTTCTTTACAATTCAACAAATAATTCTCAATTTGATGATATTACAGATAAATACTTGTGCCATTTTAACTACTTTTTAAATTTGCCAAGATTTCAAGTTTTTATAAATTAAATATTTCTTTTTGAAATTGTAATAAGAATAATACACATTGATATATTAATGTTTTTTTTGAATTTAAAATTAAAAATTTGTTGCTATAAAAATTCTCCTTTGACTCGAATATAAGTAAAGGTTAAAATTCTAATATGAATTTAATTTTTTTATATAAGTTTAGGTGGGCGATTTGGTGATTTAAAAATAAAGAAAAAAATATTTAATACTGTTTATTTGTTATAAGAGCTTTCTTTCTTATTTTTCAAGCATTTGTCTAATTCGGATATCCCGGTGTTTCAATCCATCTCTCCTTATTTTATAAAATCAAAAATAAATCGATCTGTAAATTTGAATGAAATAATCCTTAAATACTCTCTTCTAACTTTCTTCAAAATTTCATCAGATAGCTTTTAATTTTTTTAATAAGGTTACACTATTTTTTCTTTGACATTCTTTTCATTATAATAACGAACCAACCTGACCTTTGGACAACATTTGGCTACAACTAGGCTACTTTTATGGGGACATCTAAAGCAGAGCAGATTCTTATAATATATATTTTATTGAATTAACATTAAAGTTAGGAGCATCTTATATTGGGGTTAGGTTAGGTTTTAGGTAGTTATATATAAGCAAAATTGCCTTCCCAATATTTTTAATTAACATATCTGAGGCAGGTTTAGACTGCCATTTTTTGTATTTTTCAGGTTTTTCATTTTTATTTCTAGTTTTGCTTCACCAGCGATCATCAAAATTCTATAATTTGATTGGTCTGATATCACATGCTTCTGCTCTGCTTTAGACGACCCTTTTATGGTAAATGTTGGATGATTCTACTAATATTTTATTCACACAGCTTGCAATTCCTTCACCTTTGGCAAATTCACGATTCTAATGGCTGGGATAACAAATTGACCTGATTTCCTTAGTTCCTTTATTTTTTTTGTTAACTCAAATGAAACACGTGCTAACTCGTAAAAGGTATAGATGTATATGACTCTTGAATAATGGTAATTGCTTTTATTATTAGTTATCTTTAGATACATTATCATGAATTGTTATTGGTACTGGGAAATAGATTCCTGAGTGTGATGCATATTCAAAGATTACTATGTTTTGAATCAGAGCAAAAAAAGGTAATCAATTACTTAGTTGAACATTTTTGTTTAGTTGTTCTAATTTAATAATATAAAGACAACTAATCAATTAATTTATTAATCGATTAAGTTGGTTAATCGATTAATAGTTGGGTTAAAGTTATTTATGAAGTTCAATCGTGCTGTGATTATATATGAGTGATAGAAAGGGAAAACCTGTAATTCTAAAAATAGATTATTATAAAATTCATAATAATCTATTTTTAGAATTACAGGTTTTCCCTTTTTGTCACTCATATGTCCTATAATCAGAGTTAAGCATATTTGGTAAAATTATGTTCTATATAATTTAATAGAAATTCTGATTCAAATTCTATCAACGAAATTCAATTAATTGAAGTTTATCTAATTGTAAAATAAAACTTCTACTTGATAAATAAAAAAGAATTTTTAATATTGTTATAATAAAATTTTGTATTATTGGCATGTTTTGTGTATGATTGTATTGTTACATGATCGGATACCACTTTTAAATATGAATTTACTTTATGAACGTGATGAATGTTCAAAATCTAACTCCTCTTTCATTATTAGTTATTCGAATATAAAAGTAATAAAAAATAGATTAAAAAAGTATGCTTTTTAATTTGTCATGTGGGTTTTTTTTGGGAACTTAAAATTTAATTTAGCTATTTATATAACTTAAAAGAATAAATTTGTAAATAACTTGTGTTATATCTTAAATATTAAAATTTTGACATGAGAGTTCAAAATATTGGTTATAATGTATTGTTAATTTATTTACCTTTTACAATCAATAAATTATGTGAAAATTCTTTTAAAAAAATTCTTAACCTTTAAAAACCTCATTTTTCTATATTTTACTTTAGTAATTTTCTATAAAAAGTTTTTAAAATTTCTTCTTTGGATTTTATCAAGCATTCTATTAATACGATTATCTGACTATCAATCAATCATGTTTAAAAAAAAACAAAGAAAGTAAAGATAAAAATAAGGATGAGAAAAAAGAGGAAAAAGAAGATTACTATTTGATGGTGATTAATTTATTAAAAGACAATAATTTCGATATGAAAACTTTGAAAAGACTCCCCAAATATTCTACTGTTCGGATCTCTTTTAAAGAATACTTTTTTTATCTTATCATCTGGCATGAAAAAATCAAAAAAAAACAATAGTATTTAGATTTATATAATGAAGTTCAATATTATATAAATAATATGCATCCATCTAATCCTACACACTACAATAATGAAATTCATGATCATTTAATAGTATGTAAATCATCAGGCATTAAATATGATTTCATAGAAAAATTTGATCAAGAAACTGGGAAATTTCTTAAATTTTTTTATTGCAAAAAAAACAAACAGATTATTGAACATATAATAGAATATTTTTCCTATCAATATGCAATATCTAAAGGAATAGATGAAGCAAAAACAGATTTATTTGAAGAATACATGAGAAAAAATGTGAAAAATACTACATCTTTTGATAAATATTACCAAAAGTGGGTTGTTTCACAACAAAAGCATGCTTAAAGTATATATAATTAATTTATTAAACAATTTCAATTTATTTTTACTAAAATATAAAGTATGGGTATTATGGTGGGACGTTTGGTCAACTAATTAAATCAAAAATATTTGAAGACCCTTATAATAAAAGATTTTTAAGCAATATAATTGGCTAATTGATTATGTATTGTTCGAAACATTATTCTGTGCACCAATCAAATAGTGCGTATAATGGTTGTTGGCACATGAGTTATTTACGAATTAGTGATTTTAGATTATATAAATATTTACAAAATACAATAAAATTTTTAAATTTTAAGTACCAAAAAAAAACCTCATGACAAGTTAAAAATCACACCTTTAATTAATATTGAGAAAGGAGTTAGATCCATTATATTCATAGTAAATTCCGACCAAAATCGATTTGATCCGATCCGATCAGATATATCAAAAGTTGCTTGATTTCAAATTTATCTAGTAGATTTCTGTTGACTCAACGTGTTAACCAAAATTGAGTCAACAGAAATCAAGCAAATTTATCTAATAGATTTGCTTGATTTCTGTTGACTCAAAAAAAACTTTCAAATAAACCGAAAAATGGGGTCTTTGCCTTGAAAATAACCTTACGGGGTATAGTAATTACTATGCCCCGTAAGGTCATTTTCAAGGAAAATACCCCAATTTTTATTTTTTGTCGTTACTGTAAAATAAGCTTACACTTTAACGAGTGTGGAAGCAATTTTAATAGTGCCACTGGAACCTTTACTATTGCAGATTCCCATTGTAAGATTAAAAATTCAGAAAGCAGAATTCGCAGCAGCTACGTAATTACTTTGAACAAAGACGTGTGGATCTTGTAATTTAAGAATACACCCGAGGTTTATTCCTTAGAGATCACAGTAAATCACAAGATCCCCACGTCCCGCTCTAAATTATATTTGAGCTGAAAACATTGCTAAGTATTATTCCTTTATTAGGTTCTACGGTTTATTATACATCGTTATGACTACTTAAATAGTACATGAAAGTTATAAATTTCGACATATCAACTGATCACAGGCGGTTTTGAATCGGTTGAATTAAAGCCGAGTTTAAGAGTAAGTGGTTTATATTTTAGTTATATTAATATAATTCTTAGTCATTTTTAATTTAGAAATTCTATTGTAATTTGAACTGATTAGGGACTGATCCAACCCTACTAATACTATTGAAATAATGAACCTACTCAGTTGAAATTGTGAACCTACCTACTATTAAACTCGTTAATTCATCTACTATTAAATATAAAGAATAAAGAGAAGGCTTCGCTAATAATGTATTTTTAGCAGTCCATAATAAACAATAATTTTAATATTTCTTAAAATTCTTTTGTATAAATTCTATAAACTAATAGTAATGTAAGTACGTATAGGTAAAAAAAATTATGTAAGTACGTATTAACCTGGTCACATAATTTACATAATGGAGAAACATAGATGTCTTTTTTACAATTAATGGTCGAATGATTAGTC